TCTTGAAAAATAGTCCTGAGTGAAAAAAAATATTTAGCAACCCTTTTGTAATTCACAATCTATATGTGACAGGTCACATTCATTTCAATTTTCAAGTTAACTGATTGTAAATCATTTCAATTTTTTAAACAAATCTGCTGTAAGAGTATAAAATTATTTCTAGCAAAGTTATATTAATCACCTTACACTTAACTGGTTAGAATTAATTTAAGACAGATAATTTTTTCTCCCTGTCAAGAGCTTCCCGCATTGCAAAGAAAACAAACAGGAAGGAAAAATATTATTTTTTTCAAATAGCCTGTAAAGATGTTGCCTATTTCCACAGTCCATGAATCTCTCCAGAATTTCTTGCTCACTTAAGCTACATGAATTTAAAAGCACATCCTACTCTTTTTGGTTCTCTTAGTATTACTGTTGATATCTGAATATCTTCAGCAGGACTTTCTTCATAACAGAGTGAAATAAACTGCTTTCTTTTAAATGATCATTTTGAACAAAGTGTTATTGCAAAAATTAAGTGGCAGCAAGCAGACTGAGGAATTATTTAGGAATGACTCCAGCTCACATAAAAATAAAGAAAGAATGTGCATAACTGATCTTTTTTTTCAGTCACTCTACAAATTTCCTGCAGAGAAGTGAAAATAGATGTAATTCAATTACATTTTGAGTAAAAAAGAAAACAGAAGCTGAAATACTTATTAGTCTAACACACTTTGTTTCCAATACACAGCAACCTGTCAAGCTGTGCTAGAAACAGAGTCCACAGAGCAGGGAGTGAACACAAAACTACAACCACCAGTTCAGGAGAACCACAGCACACGGTGCTGAGAAGGTACAAATGCACAAAATAGTTCTCTGGGCTTGGGATCTTATTCCATTTTCCCCCCAAACATGCAGTGCCCTCTCTCAGAGGCAGAATGCCAAGTCAGCTGGGCACTTGTTGTGACCCTGAGCAAATCCTCTCGTCCTGACGTTTTTAGGTAATTGTGTCCTTCAGCCTCACCTCTGAGCTCGTCCCTCAGGGAATGCCCATGGCTGTGGCAGCTCACACTCACAGAGTTGGTACCACCATATCATGGTGTATTTCTAACCCCTGGTACTGTTTCTCATCCCATGAAACACACATAAATGCCTCTTGGACCATGCAATTGAAAAATACTACTGTTCTGATTTATTATTGCTAATGGTGGCATTTCAAGTACTGTTTATTCTTCATGTTTAAGTTATGATGTCCCATGCTTAGCTCTCCTATCTCATTTTTTCATGACTCTGATTTACAGGTCAATAATCAATGCGGAACTGTTTCCACAACTTTGTTAAAAATTTTATTTTAGTGAATACTTTGCCATTACAATATAAATGTCACTATTGTAAGGACAAGAAGAAAACAAAAAAAAAAAAGAGATAAATTTATTGCACTTAGGTAACAAAATAGGAAAAAGTATTTTCTGCATTTTAGCTTAAACAAGGAAATGCACACATGATTTGTCATTTTTGTATACTCCATAAAATATCTTCTTCCAAGCTGGACAAGAGGATGCAGAAGACCACCCACAAGGATAAATATCTCCCTTTCCTTCAGGCACTACTCATTCACCCCTCTACACTGATACTTCCTTCACTTCCATTTTCAAATTATTCAGACCCATCTATGTGGCATCCTTTTGACTGTCTTGTTTATCAGACAATGAAATATGTTTCAAATCCTCATAGATTATTGTGGATTATAATATAAAGTACCATCAGCTCCAGAAAGTGATTTGTCATGTTTCAGCAACAGTGAGAAGGGTTTTTCCCATATAGACAGACCCATTTATAAACACTGAACCTTCAGAAAATCTTCATGAGGCTTTGAAGGACTCAAGGACAGTGAGAGTGAAAATGACATGAGCAGGGGTATTTGAATGCTAACAGATCATTTCTTTGTAGGGAACTGTCTCATATTCCAAGGCATTCATTTCTATCATCAATCTACCCAGTCAATAGTGTAGACAAAGATAGACTCAATGTGTAAAGAAGACATAAAATCTGTATTATTATGAAACCTGAATTCAATTTTAGTCAAAGTCCTTTATTAAATAGATTATCATCAGGTGTGTCACTCATCTAAGCCTCTGTCTTATTCTTCCCCATTGTAGTAAACATTTTGAGTTGGCAGAGTCACAAATTCTATTTGCTATTCACATCACATTATCCTTTGTTTTGTACATCTCACCACACACACTCTTCCATTTGGGCCATGATTCAAACATAGGCACCACTTACTTACAAGCAATCAGCAAAGAAGGATGAAAAAAAAAAAAAGTACATTTCACAAGGTCTTCTATTGCTTTTTTTATTTTTTATCCTATGGAAATAGATGTCAACAGACTATTTTCAGTGTTGGGGATGAAAAGGAAGAGCTTAGTAATTCTGCAAGAATACATCAGGAAGATACATATACAAATATATATATACATATATATATATATATATATATATATATATATATATATACATATATATATATATACACATATATATATATAAAATGAAATAGAAAAAACAAGTAACACTAGAAAATTAAATAAATTAGGCCCTAGAAGACCACTCAAGTTAATTACCTGCAGAATATTTCATCCTTAACTTTATATGCATCTAATAAAAATAGAAAGGGTTCAACATAGGCATTACTAAAATTTTACTAATCACAACACTGACTGTACAGTCTTTCATGGGAACATTGTCCTGCTGTTTACAGCAAGCAGAGAATAGATGCTGTCCCCTGTCCATTCCAGGGAAGGTGAGCACCACCAAGCTGAGCTAGACAGAACTCTTTTGGAGATAACAAGAATGGGCTATTAGACAAATAAAGGAAATAAGAACTCTGAAAAAATTAAGCCCTTCCTGGTAGTTGCCGGAAATATTAGTGCAGTCCTGACAATGTTTTGTCCAGCTTTACTGCAGAAATGCTTATCCCATTTTAAACACTGCGTGCAGGAGAACTGTCAGAGTGACAATCACAGCCAGAAAACACCACCTGAGGGCTGGATGTCTTACATCTGACAGTACCAGTAAGCAGCAGAGTTTTGTCTGAGCAACCTTTTGTCAGTCATCCATCAATTTGATAGTATTGATTCTATTCCTTCCATATTTCTGTCCCCACTAAACAAAATTTGCAAGGTACTAAGAGTAAAAAGAAAAAGTTATTTTATGACATCCATTATTTGAGCAAGAGCATTCCAGCATTCTCTTATGTTTCATAGATATATTTAAGTTTCCCTTCATTGGGATACCTAGAGACCACAAAAACAGCTTGCAAAAGTTTTGTATCAGTTGGAATTCACACATTGGTGTATGCATCTCTGAATGTCACAAGTAAAGCAGATAAAAGCAAAAGTCCTTTATTTCCACCATGGTTTCAATCTGTGTTTTCCATGTCATTTTCTTGCCATAAGAAACTATGAGACAAGACCAAATTTCAATGTGCAAGTTTCCTTAAAAGACACATATTATGGTTTCCTGTAACAAAAAAGTTAAATGCAGGGAGGTGGGTTGTGGATAACAAAATTCCTAGGAAGGGTGGGTTTATTGATCAGAGGAGCACTTAAAAGGGGAGGCCACATCAATTCCACTGAAATAACCAAAATCTTCTGGCGAAGAGGGAGATGGAGGCAGGTGAGCATCCTTTGAGATGGCCTGGGGTATCCCATCCCCTCGGAATGTTCCTTTCACAAGGACATCAGTCACCTGCAGATCTCTGACATCCTCATAAGAGAAGCTTTACATAGGATACCTGACCTATATTCAGGTGATGTAAATAACTGCTGCCTGTCCATGTGTGCATCATCACTTCAGGTATTTATTTAGGTGACCTAATGAGATGAATGTGTCCTTTCCTCCTCACTCACTATATTCAAACAGAGCCCAGACACAAGTTTTTTCACTCATAAAATGTTGCCCTGACAACAGAGTATTTTCATAACTTTGCTTGCATTACTTAGCCTTTAGAAAGTGACAAGTGAAAGAGCCACAAGTACCATTCACATGTAACTGTTAATCAGGCAGGAGCTACTACAATCAAGTTTTGCTGAGTTTGTCTCACTTGGATGGGCTGCTAGACAGCAAATAAACCCCTGGAAAATGTTTAAATGCTCTAAATAATTGTCCCAACAAGAAATCCAGTCTCTAAGCAGGGTCCAAAACTTCTGAGAAACCAATTTTTTCTCATAATTAAACTAGCATCATGCTAATGCAATATTACTATTTTGTCATTGTAGCTGGAAAACATTTAGGTACAAACACCCACACAGATGATGCAAGTGCAAAGTTAAACATTCCAACAATACTCTTGGAACAATTTGGATTGCAAGAATATCTTGGTCCAGTGACTGTCTACAAGAGATGTTTATTTCATGTATTAGTATCTGAAACGTTTGTTCACCTCACTGGCTTTCACTTTATTCAAGTTTTGATTTGTTAGTACAAGTTATGCCATTCAAAAGCTAGAAAATCCTTTCTGGCTTTGGAAAGAGCAGAGAGATTAACATTGGAAAGGTGAACAAAAATTAAAAGAAACAGACCAGCTGCAGCTGGCAATGAAATCAGAGCAGGTTTTTATCTGAATTTATTAGAAAGTTCAGAACTGTTCCCAGCTAACTGGAAGTTTTTTGTTTCCTGCCCATGCACCCTAAAATATGCTGTGGTGAAGAAGGCAAACTTTTCTTCTTTCCTGCTGATTTATTTATGTGACACCAGCACTCATGGATGCTAACATTTTTGAGTGCAGTGTCAGTCGCAGCCATGTGCTACACAGGGAGGAAACACCTCTCCTGGAATTGCTTCCCCAGCTCCTCCTGGCAGATTCAGTCAATCCAAAGGCTTTTGACTTTTATAAAGTGTGCACCAGCAGGGCTGAAACACAAATGTGTTCAAAAACTTCTGGAGACATCCCCTCAGAGGGAGCACAAATAATTGTAACCCCCAGTGCATCTGACCCCAGTGCAGAGTTCTGACTGTACCTCTGTGTGAGAGCTGCTCCAGGATAATCCTCAGGTGCTGCAGAACAGGGCCTGAAATGTCATATTTATAGATGTCTATTACTGGCACTTGCTGACATCTCCCAAATATTCCATCTGCAGGAAAGAGAAAAAAGAAAAGGAAAAAGACACATTTGGTTTTCTGAGAGGAAGAAGGGCGTGATGAGATGCGCATTTCCAATGTCTCCTAATTATATACTGAAGGAACCTTTTAAAAGACAGTTTAAAAAGCTATCAAAGGACCACTGAAGTCATGAGACAGAATATTTTCTATCAAAATAAATAAATACTGGGAAGAATATTAGTTGGAAGAATGTCCTATTGTATGAGATAGGCATACAGTTTATTTTGTGAAGTATTTTCAGACTTCTGCTTCCCAAATCTTTAGATGTAAGACTTCTTTACTGACAATTCAGTGAGAGAAAATCTTAATGTTCAATGCCTACTATGATGTGGATAAAAAGTGCAGCACCCAGAAATATAAATATTAATTTGCAGAAACTATGTGGATTTGCTGAAACATTTTTAATGTGGGAGCTGTGTGTTAGGCATTGGTAAATGAGAACTGAATCCATAATGGCTAGTAAAGGCTCATTTTAAGAAGTACCCTCTAATGAATGCAATAAAAGAAAGCTCCTCACAGAACAATGAGATATTAATGTGGCCTAATTTATTTAGCTCCATTCCATTTGTCTGAAATGACAGACTCTTCTCATCAATGTCTTTTCAAATCACACCTTCTAATTAATTTAGCTTCTTATTAGTCTTTATTTAGAGAATTGTTCATTTTGAGGCAAGCTTCCTGTGTATGTGTGGGAGGAACAGGGAGTTCAAACATTCAAATTACCTTTCTCCCTTTCATACAAAAGCCTAATTCAGAGTCTAGGTGCTTCACATACAATCTGACCATCTGCAATTCTGGGTCTCTGAGAAAGAAAGTGGTTTCATTTATTGTTCAAAATAGTTCTCTTCTATATAGTGATCCAAAGGAAGCAATTTAAATGCAACAAGTTTAATTAGCAAAATATTCTACTGCAATCCTAGTTTTAACACAGTAATTACTTCTGCTCTGATACTACATCTATGCTCCAAAAGGAGAACTGCATCAGATGAGCAGAAAATAAGGGTAAGCATTAATTTGCAAATGTCCATTACTTTCTGTGCTACTTTACAGAGCTAAAAGACTACAAATGGGAACTACTGGCCCAGCTGTTCACTAAACACAAATAATGGCATAAAAGAAAATAAACCAAACCAGGATGCAGAAAAAGGGCATTATTAGCCCTCACTGTTAAACACAAATACCTCATTGAAATTAGCCAACTTTTTCTTTCTTCTCCTTTCCAATCCTCCTGTCACTTACAACTGTCAAATTAAGTTAATTCAAATTAAAACCCTACATCTGAATCTAATTTTGCTATTGGAAGCTAGGTTTAATTTGGAAACCACATAGACAGATAGGGTTTGGTTTTCTGACATGTAATGTGAAAAGCAGCCTAACAGCAGATTAAAATATTCATCTCTGTTTAAAAACCTGCTGCAGTTGAAAATAAGCAAAGTATATAAATATCAGTCAACTTGTAAATGGATGGATAGCAGGAATAGGGTTTTGATTCAGAAAGGAACAGAAGAACATCTCAGTGTTTAGGAACAAGATTGTTCAAAATGAAACATAACCTGACACAGCCAACTGTATTTTGGAATACCACCATTACTGGCTACAAACAATTAGTACAAAATCTATGTTTACATAAACAAATAATATCCATGCGTTTTTAGAGATAATTTACCTTAAAAATAATTCTAATATTATTTTAGAGTCCAGAAAAGCATACACATTCCATAAAAAAGAAATATTTTTGCATTAAGTATCATTTAAGGATATCTCCATGGATGCAAAAGCTAATTCACTCACAAACTCTAAAAGACACCAAACCATTTTCCTAAACTCAGTTTTCAGAAACCTTCAGCCTACTTCCTTTGAATAGAACAAAACCCATTTAAATTCTAAAATTAACAATTAGCACATGAGCCTGAGCTGCATTATACAATCTAGTCAAAAACACTGGGACAGCTCAGGGAGAAACTGCAAGTTACTTTGGCTTTTGTACTTGAAATATGGGCATAATAAGCTTTGGAGGGGCTGCAACCACAAATAGCACTGGGCTCTGCTAAATGCAGCACAAGGAGAGAGGAGAGAGAGCAGAATGCCCCAAGGAGTGGTTGGCAAATACCAGCTCTAAAATACAGAGGATCTTTGTGCCGGGGATTACAGTTGGACTGGAGTCGTGCAAATAATACATTTCATAGTTCAGCTGCTTTTGCTAAAAAAGTAGGAATTTTCCCAGATTTTTCTGTTTGCTTGGGGCTTTCTTTTTTTGGTTGGGGTTGGTTTGTTTGGTTTTGAGTGTGTTTTGACTTTTTTTTTTTTTAATTAATAAGGTTTCTGTGGCAAGATATAGGACCTAAAAAATTAAATTGAGATTGGGCATTCAGTTCTCAGGGTGTCTTTTAAATAAATTTACTTTCAATTACACAGATTGCAAGGGAAGAAAAGCCAAGTGAGAGCCATTTTACCAAGAAAAAAATGTCAAAAGTGCCCCTCTTTTACTTTCACGAAACCTAAATGGGAGATGTGGGGTCAGAAATGGCTTAGATCCAGCACAAAGCTCATTTTTACTTGAAAAACAGATTAAATTAAATTACAGCTAATATTTAAAATGTCCAGCTTAGTCTACCATGCACTATCCCAGTCACTGTGGGATTTACAGAAAGTCAGTACATGGTGCATCCTTCTGGACCCTGCTGTGCAACCAGCTGGCCTCAAACAGTGAGAGGCATGTCCAAAGCTGGGCTTAAAGCAAAAAGGAGAGTGGAAAAGCTCCCAGATTTTACAGAAGATGTATCAGGGCAGAGAAAACTCAGAGTGAGTGATGCTTTAATGACACCATGGCCTGTATGCCTATAGCTGCTGAGAGTGTGCTCATACTGAATCTCCACTGAAGTTGTGTTAGGAGAGGGAACATAACATGCAAAGGACATCTACTCTTTACACCAGCCCAGAATGAGGGAAGGGTGAGTCTGAGCAATAGGGACACATGTTTTTTATTAAGGTGTTATCACTTGCTGTCAGCAAAAAGTAGAATTTTCCATAATAGTATCTTAACAGTTATACTTAGACCAGGAAAAATCTGCATCAAAGCATGCTCATTTTTGTTCTTAGAGAGCTGCTAGATTTGTTTCTCAAAGAAGAGAATAAACCAGAAGAATAATACACCCATACACCAAAGGAAACAGTGAAATGCTTCTTTATCCATTTGGCTCTTTTGCTGATAGGCTTATAATTTGAGAAGAAACACAAACATAAATTTTTACAAGATTTATTTAAAATCTTGAATTTCAACAAATATTTATGTAAAGGACACAAATTTACTGTAACTCAAGTGCCCAATAAGATCTCAAACAGTGTCAGATGTCTTTTACTAAAGAAAACTTCCTGGAGCATGGTAAACATATTCACACTGAATATTTATCCACTTCCAGGGAAAAAATTACAACTGATAGATTAAACCATGAGCAAGTCAAAAAACAGATTCTGGAAGACTGATCATTGAGAGAGTTTTAAAAGAAAATGGGAAACATCCATCATTATTCATTATTATTGGCCATTTGTCCTGAATTAGTGCATATATATGATCTCCATTACCTACTGAGGAAGTACCATTCATGGTTGGCATCCCAGTACTGAATTAGGTAAAAGGAGACCACAAAAACCTAGAGCTTCAAACAGTTTTGAAGAGTTGATTGCACCAGTTCGTTCACTTTGTAAAGGAGATGGGCATCAAGTGCTTAGGAGTTATTAAAAAATCTTTGGAAACTTGTGCTGAGTGTCAACCTTCACCTTGAAGGCAGCACTGTTTATTGGGCAGCTGATTCATGAAGTTCTTTATAGGTAGTCATATCTCAAAAAAGAAGAACAAAAAAAGTTTAAGTAAAAAAAAGCTGTCCTTGGCAAGAGAAACATATCCCATCCTGGAACCACTATGTATGGCTAATCTGGTGACTAATTAAGCTGTATCCAAGACATTGCTCAGTTTTGAATAATACCAGCAAAAAATTCTTGTTGAGTGTCTTTTGCTACTTGAGCAAAGGTGTGAAGACTGATAGAGATACTGGAGTTTGTCTGCAGGAAGCTGAAAGCTTGATATATGTAAATTAAAAGATTGTGCTGTGCAGTAATTAATTATTTAGATCTGCATGCAGTGAAACTTTCACATGGCACTGACAAGTGACCTTTGCAAAGGAGCCTTCAAGCAGATGCTTTGAGGCACCTGGTTCTTCTGCTCTTCAAACTCCTACAGCAGCAGAAAGGAGCAGCTCTCCAGACAGTGTCAGTAGTCACGCTTCAGCTTCCTCACACTAATTACCTGACAATTGTTAACAAATTAAAGCTCTGTATAAAATTCAAGTTTTGCCCCATACTGCAGTCATTATGCTCTGTTCCTGCAGAAAAAGAAAGTCCACAGACCCAGTAGTGTGTGTCAAATGGCAACTTCTGCCACCTTGGCTTGCGTCATTTGTGCACTTGCAGTTAACAAGAAAAAATACTGTAATGTTTTCAATGGGCATCGTTCTTCAGCAGCTTAACCTTCTGTAAGAAAAGAATCCTTTCTTCTCACTGAATATGGACATCACTTCACACTCCTTCCCCTAGCCAGTAGTTTAAGGTGCTGTAAGGTCCAGGACTAAAAAAAGGCCAGTGTTACAACCCTCAGTAAGAGCCTGAATTGCCTACTGGAGAGATTAAATCCTTTTCCAATGGGAAGCATAATATTTGCATCTCAAAAGTCTCAAGACACTGAACTTCAAGGTCACAGATGTTAAATGTTTAGGAAGTATGAAGGAGATTGTTACAGTATTTTATTATTCTCTCCCTGCTGTTTCCCATAGTATGGAGTTCCTTTTCAAAATCCCTTTTCAAAAATTAAAAAGAAAAAAAATGTAATGTTACTGTTCCTTGAAGAGGACATTAAGTTGTATGCCAGGAAGCTTATTTCAAAAGATATAGTCCACAAAGCCATAGTCAACATTTACAA